ACTTTGACATTTGATGGTGGTGGCAGCTTCTCAATTACTTCTGTCTTTGCTCGATCAACTTCAATTCCATCCTTGGAGATCCTATGCCCGAGCACTATTCCTTCTTGGACCATGAAGTGACACTTCTCCCAATTAAGCACCAGGTTCGTCTCCTTACATCGCTACAAAACAAAAGAAAGATTAGTTAGACAGCTATCAAATGATGAACCAAAAACTGAGAAGTCATCCATGAAGACTTCTATAAACCATTCCACCATGTCCCCAAAGATTGACATCATGCATCTTTGAAATGTTGCTGGTGTATTGTACAACCCAAAAGGCATCCTTCGGTAGGCAAAGGTGCCGTAGGGGCAAGTGAAGGTCGTTTTCTCTTGATCCTCAAGAGCGATGGCAATTTGATTATATCCTGAATACCCATCCAGGAAACAGTAGTAGGCATGTCCTGCCAACCTCTCCAACATCTGATCAATGAAAGGTAATGGAAAGTGATCCTTCCTTGTCGCCTCATTCAACTTACAGTAATCAATGCACACTCTCCAGCCCGTCACCATCCTCGTTGGTATCAACTCATTACTCTCATTTTTCACCACAGTGATACCTCCCTTTTTTGAAACCACTTGTACCGGGCTCACCCATGGGCTATCGAAAATAGGATAAATGATCCCCGCATCTAAGAGTTTCACCAGCTCCTTTCTCACCATTTCCTTAATCAAAGGATTCAATCTCCGTTGTGGTTGCACCCTAGGCTTAAAATCATCCTCCATGAGTATCTTATGCATTTAAAATGAGGGCGAGATACCTCTAATGTCCGAGATTATCCATCCAATTGCTAGCCTATGTTCCCTCAACACCCTAATCAACCGTTCTTCCTCTAATGTACTCAAATCTGAACTAATAATCACTGGAAAAGTTTCTGAGTCTCCAAGATAAGCATATTTGAGGTTGGAAGGTAAAGGTTTCAATTCAAGCTTTGGAGGTTCTTCATTTTTCTCCTTATCCTTCTCTTTGTCAAAATCAAACTCCTCAAATTCTACATCTTGACTCTCATCAATCGGTTGAAGTGCTTCTAACAGCCTAGCACAATCATTCCTTTCCGACTCTTCTACACTACTGTTTTTTATTTGGCTATACAAGCTTCTAGAGGTAATTGTGGGGTGTTTTCTTCCATGGATTCCTCAACCAATTTGTCCACCACATCGACACTAAAACATGAATCCGTTTTAGCCGAAAATTTCATCGCCTCAAAGACATTAAAAGTCATTGTTTCATCTTGAACCCTCAACAGTAACTTTCCTTCCTGTACATCAATTAGTGTTCTCCCCGTGGCCAAGAATGGTCGGCCCAAAATCAAAGGAATTTCCTTATCCTCTTCCATGTCCAACACCACAAAATCTGCTGGAAAAATTATCTTCCCCACCTTCACCAATACATCCTCTACTATCCCCCTTAGTTGTTTTATTGATCTATCCGCTAGTTGAAACGACAACGTCGTTGGCTTCACTTCACCAATTCCCAATCTCCTGAAAACAGAAAAGGGCATCAAATTAATACTAGCTCCTAGATCACACAAAACACGATCAAATGTAATATTTCCTATAATACAAGGAATAGTAAAACTCCCTGGATCCTTGAGCTTTGGAGATAACTTCTTCTAGAGGATGGCACTACACTCCTCCGTGAGAATCACCGTTTCCTCATCGTCTAGCTTCTTTTTGTTCGATAAGATTTCCTTAAGGAACTTTGCATAGCTCGGCATCTGTTGCAATGCATCTGCAAAAGGAATATTACTGTGCAATTTTTTAAAAATTTCAATAAACTTTGAAAATTGCTTATCCTGATTCTTTTTCTTCAATCTCTGAGGAAAAGGCACGGGTGGGCTGTGATATGCCAACTCTGGTGGTATCTCGGGGAATGGCAATTTCTCCTTCTTTTTTTGCCTTTCTTCATTTTTCTTTTTCTCTTCCTCCAAACCACTTGGTTTCTTTTCAACAATGATCTCTTCATCAACTTCCTCTTCCGAATCTTCCTTGTCGGCTTGCTCAACCTCTTTGGTAGCTTGCTTTACCTCTTCCAAAACTGTCCCACTTCTTAAAGTGATGGCGTTCGCTTGCTCACGTGGGTTGGTCACAGTATTGCTTGGTAAGGAACCCTGCGGTCTCTCATTCAATTTCTCGGCCAATTGGCCCACCTGTACCTCAAGACTTCGAATGGACGCCCCTTGATTTCTAAAATTTGTCCTCGTCTCACTTATAAATCTCGTGATCTCCTGCATGAATTTACCAAACATATCCTCCAACTTTGTCACTCTTTGATCTCCCGGTTGATTTGTCACCCCTGGTTGGTTATTTTGAACTGGCCTCTGGTTCCATTGGTTATTTTGTTGGTTCTGATTTTCCCAAGCCAGATTTGGATGATTTCTCTACCCCGGGTTGTATGTGTTGGAGTATGGGTTGTTTGGTTGTCTCTGGCTTCCTGCCAAGTAGTTCACTTGCACCGTTGATGAGGATGACGAAGCAAATGTGTTCCCAACTTGACACTCACTGCTCACATGGTTCCCTGCACAAAAATCACACGTTAGTTGAGGTGCTTGAATAGAGTTTACCTGCATAGTTTCCAACTATTTCTGAAGTGCCGTGAGTTGGGCTGAGATGGCTGTGAATGCATCAACTTCATGAAGACCCGAAGAATTCCTTGGTGTTGGTCTCTCATTTGGTCTTTGATAGTTGTTGCTTGCCAAAACCTCAAGCAACTCATAAGCCTCTTCTGGTGTCTTATTCTGCAAGGCCCCTCCTGAAGCTGCATCCGCCATGGTTTGTACATTACTCATCAATCCATTGTAGAACGTTTGGACTTGAAGCCAAATTGGTAAACCATGGTGTGGGCATTTCCTCATTAACTCCTTGTATCTCTCCCAAGCCTCATACAATGACTCGGAATCATCTTGTAGAAATGATGTAATATCATTTCTCAATTTTGCTGATTTAGCTGGAGGAAAGAACTTGGTAAGGAATTTCTGTGCTAGATCATTCCAAGTTGTTATAGTTCCCAGTGGTAATGCCATTAACCACCCCTTGGCTTTATCTCCCAATGAGAATGGGAATAATCGCAACCTAATAGCATCATCCGACACTCTGTTTGACTTGAAGGTGTCACAAATTTCCAAGAAATTTGCAATGTGCTGATTCGGATCTTCCTTCAAGTCACCATTGAATCTAACCGACTGCTGGATCATCTGGATGATTGCCAGCTTGATCTCGAAGTTGTTTGCTTGCACCGTAGGTCTAGTAATACTCGACCCACTACCATTCACTGTGGGAACTGAAAATTCCCTCAGTGTCCTATTTTCTGTTTGGCAATTTATGCGAAGAACGAGATGTCAACCAGTGGTCCCTGTTGATCTTGAGCTTGAGAGAACGCCAAAAACTTGTTGTGTGTTTCCTACAACGTGCAATATGTAGCAAGTATACTAATCGCACAAGTAATAGAGTGATGAGTAGAGTATCATTCCCACGAGGATTGTTAGCTAACCACTAAGTATTCTACTGTTCTCAAGTTGGAGCAATCGATATCTTTGGATTGATGGGAGCTAATTATAATTAAACTGAACAATAACTTTTAAACTAAAAATTAACTAAAAATGCAAGATGAAAACACGAATAATCAATTCAAGTAAAGCGGGTAGGGTTTTGACTTCATTCGGATTTGATGGGTTAAACCTAAAAATTACACTACATTCACATTCATATGCATTGATTGTAAACCGAACTCACTAGGGTGTTAAACATACTTTCTCAGGCTATGTTTTCCTATTCTTCCTTTTTAACCTTCCGCACCCAACAAATTGAAGGTTAACAATTCCAAACTCGTTAAGCATAAGAATCCTACAATGATTTCATTAACTCTTGAATCTATCTCTAGCATCCAATACTATAATGGTGATTACCCAAGAAGCCTAACATGATTCATTTCTCAATCTCATCATCTTCATCACATAAAGCATTAAAATTCAGAGCAAACACACAATCAAAACATAGTCATATGAACATAACATGATCAATAATTAACCCATTAAAAATCCGAATTACAATCAAAACCCTAACCCAAAATGGGTTAGTTCATAGCTAAATTAACACTACAACTAAGAAAAACGAGAATAATCAAGTTCAACATAATGAAAAGTAAGAGAAAGGACAAGAAATCTCCCCAATTGATGAATCATTTAGTTCAAAATCGAATCTTCACCCTTTTAGTTGCTAAAAATCTCTAAGCTTAATCCAAAACAATGAAAAAGTTGCTAACCCTACTCCCTGCACGACCCTGGGCAAAAAGGTTAAGTTTTTCTTTTATACCTCGCCCTAAATTTCTGAGAAAAAACACGCACAAAGTAAAACTGTGCGTTTTACAAAACTGAAAATTACGACTGTCGTCGCGGCGAAGAAGAAATCTCGTCGCGGCGAAGAAAGCATCAGACTTGTTCGTGTCTGCCGTACTTCGCCGCGGCGAAGGACAAATCTTCACCGGGGTGAAGCTACTTGAAAGGTTCTGAATTTACAGAACTGCCACTCTTCTTGCTTCTTCGATTCTCGGTGCTCTCCCTTTGGAACAAGCCTCATCGTGCTTTATCCTGCTTCAGAACTCTCCTGACTTCTGAGATCCGCTAACTTCTGAGTCGAAAACTTCCAATTTTGTCCTTATTTGCTCAAAATGTCCATTTTAACCTAAAACACAAAATATAAAGAATTAAAAAACAATTCAGGTCCAAATGCATCAAAAAGTACCTGAAATCCGAATAAAAAGACTAATGAAAACTGTATAATCCACAGATTATCAATGATGTATTAAGATCACACAAAGAATTATATACCATTGAGGCTTGAGAATAGTTCCATCCAACAAATTGTGTGTGTGTATCTAAAGGCATACATGACAATAAGATAGAACTCGCAAGAAGCATCCTGTTTGCATCCATGACACCAATACTACAAAGGTAGTATGAAAATATGGATTTACCTACCATGATTTATACCCTTCGAAGCAAAGAAAGGTATAAGGTGTCACAGATACTATTCAGGAGCAAGATAGATGAAGGTACCAAAGTTGGTATTTACATACTCAAGATTGCCAAGTATTTAAATACACATATAGCTTTGGATTGTGGACTAAGTGAAGATTTAGCAATAAATCTGATCTTACAGTCCTTGCCAAGTTCATTTGATCAATTTGTCAACGATCATGTTGAGAAAGGTGAGACTAAAACCTTACAAGAAGTTCTAGAATTGTTGGAGACTTATGATATGGACATGGAAATGTCTAAAGCCTTGACAATAGTTGAAGCTAACTCAAGTGTGAATCAAGATGCTCATAAGATAGAAGGAATCATTGAAAGGAAAGATGTTTCTCCTCACTGTGGAAATCCTTGACACAAGAGGAAACATTTCAAGGCCTTCTTGGAAACCAAGAAGACTACATCTTCTTCTAAAGGTATGTACATGATTCAAATCAATGTATCTCCTGTTACATCTTGGGTTATTGAAACAAGATGTGGTTCTCATATTTGCACTTCTATGCAGGGATTGCGATGCAGTAGACTGCTTAGTTGAGGAAAGGTGGACCTACAAGTTGGGAATGGAGCACGCATTATTGCATTAGCTGTAAGGGTTTATTATTTAAGTTTACCTTTGGGCCTTGAATTAGAATTTTCCAATTGTTTTTATGTTCCTTCAATTTCAAAGAATATTATTTCTGTGTCCGCTTTGGACAATGTTGGATATCCGTTTATGATAACTAATGGATTGATGTCAATTAGTTTTAATGCTATTCAATATGGAATTGCAAGATTACATAATGGTTTGTTTGTTCTAGAATTAAGTAATAATGAGATTTTCAATCTAGAGAATAAGAAAGCCAAGTTTGATTGCTTTGATCAAACTTACCTATGACATTGTAGGCTTGGTCATGAGAACCAGACTCGTATAGCACACTCCATAAGGATGGAGTTTTGGACCCATTTGACTTTAAGTCTTATGAGGTATGCAAGTCATGCCTAGTAGGCAAAATCACCAAGTCACATTTTACTAGACACAGTGAAAGGGCAAAGGAACTATTAGGCATCATCCATAGTGATGTATGTGGACCACTATCAGTCCAAGCCAAAGATGGATATCCTTACTTCATTACATTTATCGATGACCTTAATAGATTTGGATATGTCTACTTAATAAGACATAAGTTTGAATCCTTTGACAAGTTCAAAGAATTCAAAAAAGAAGTGCAAAATCAACTAGACAAGAATATCGAGGTTCTTTGATCCGACAGGGGAGGAGAATACTTAAGCCCATAATTTGACGCATGCCTTAAGGAATGTGGGATTATATCTCAACACACAACTCCTTACACTCCTCAGCACAATAGAGTGTCTTAGAGGAGGAATCAAACCTTGTTGGATATGGTTCAATCAATGATGGGTTTCACAGATTTACCCACATTGTTCTGTAGCTATGCCCTAGAGGTTGCGATAGATACACTGAATTGTGTATCATCAAAATCAGTAGAAAAGATACCATATGAAATATGGAACAAGCGAAAACCTATTTTGTCTCACGTAAGAGTTTGGGGTTGTGACGCTTATGTCAAGAAATTGAGTTCGAACAAGCTTGCCTCAAAATCAGATAAGTGTATCTTTGTGAGGTATCCTAAACAGACAAGGGGATACTATTTCTACAGTTCAACAGAGCAGAAACTTTTCGTTGCTCAAACTAGAGTATTCTTAGAGAAAGATTTCCTTCAAAGAGAAGATAATGTAAGAAAGGTTGAACTCGATAAAGTTCTAGAAACACAAACTGCATCAAAAGACGGACAAGATGATGTGCCATCAGGGATGGTTAAGCATCATGAGGAGATCACTCCACAGGGAGTGGAACAAATCGAACCTCCAGCATAAGAGCTGCGTAGGTCTGGGAGAATACATCGTGAGCCTGAGAGATATGGTTTTCTCGTGACTCAAAGTGGCGACATATTAGTCTATCAAGACGATGAACCTAGAACCTATAACGACGCTTTGTCGGATCTAGATTCTACAAAATGGCTTGATGCCATGAAATCTGAAATGGACTCCATGTACCAGAACCAAGTATGGGATCTGGTTGATCCACCCGAAAGAGTCAAACCCATAAGGTGTAAATGGGTCTTCAAGAAGAAGACTGACATGGGTGGGAATATTCAAATCTATAAAGCATGGCTGATTGCAAAAGGTTTCAAACAAAAGTATGGGATTGACTATGATAAAACCTTTTCTCTAGTAGCAAAGCTAAAGTCCATCAGAATTATGCTAGCTATTGTTGCATACCATGATTATCAAATTTGGCAGATGGATGTCAAAATTACTTTCCTGAACAGAAATCTTGAAGAGGACGTCTATATGATGCAACCGATAGTTTCGTTCTTCATGGACAAGCGGGGAAGGTATGCAAGTTGAAAAGATCCATTTATGGACTCAAGCAAGCATCAAGAAGTTGGAACATTCATTTTGACGAAGGCATAAAGGAATTTGGGTTTATACAAAACGAAGGCAAGCCTTGTGTATACAAGAAATTCAGTGGGAGCCAAGTGGCATTCTTAGGTTGCATTTAGTTCGGGGTGATATAAGATAAATCCTATAATGTTTGTTTAATTTTCAAGATTCTCTCGTTTGGTTGTCAAGTAATAAAATATTACATAATCTTTTATTGCAAATAGTGTTTACTGTTGGTAATATTGGGGGTAATCAGATTACCTTCCCAAAGGGTGTTAATATAAGATTACTGAGGTAATCTTAATTTTGACCATATTTTGCCCTTAACCTTTTATCATTTCAAACACATTTGCCCTCATATGTCTACCAAATAACAATTAGCCCAGACCCCTTACTTTTGAGAATTTAGTTAAAACACCCTAGCCACAAAAAAAATTTAAAAGTTAACAAAATACCCCTAACCACCCAAGACCACCACTAGCCGTCAACGGAAGTGTAATAGCCTCTTTCTACTCAAAAACTCATAAAGCATGTACATAAGAAAATACATATAAAATAACATAAAAAGGTTGGGCCCAAATTTTTCTTTTATTAAATATATACATTCTGTAAAAACAAAAAGTTGTGTCATGTACAAAACATCAAAACAGGGTGGACAGTGTAGCCATTTCCCTCCGCTTGCCGATGCCCATTCAACCGTGTCCTCACCTGGATCCTGCAAAACATGAAAAACAACAGGGTGAGCACAACTAATGCTCAGTAAGTAAATCCTCTACACATCTATCCCCGTAACTATTTCTCTCTAATTCTTTCCTTACAGTTCTCATTTACTCTCACTACTTTCTCTTTCTCATAACTCTTTTTACTAACTCTCTTTAGTAGTCACGGCCTCATCTTACCGGAGGCACGGCCGGGACTCTCTCCCACTCTACGTGACTTCTACTCATTTTAGCCGATCGGACTCGGTTATGCATGGATTCGGAACCCTTGGCCANTTAGAATCCATGCTTTCATGCTTTCATTCTCCATCTCCACCACTCTTCATGCATGCTGATTCTTTTATATAGGTCCATTTGAGGTATTGCAACGAGTGGGGAAGGTGGCCGACAGTTTGGCACTACCACCTAGCATGGACAAGGTGCATGATGTTTTCCATGTCTCGATGCTACGAAAGTACGTAAATGATCCCTCCCATATCTTGAGAATAGAGGATGTTGACTTAGAAAAGAACCTTGTGTATAAGGAGCGTCCAGTATAGATTTTGGACCGAAGGATTAAAGAGCTCAGGAATAAGAGCATTCCATTAGTAAAAGTCCTTTGGAGAAATCACAAGGTAGAAGAAGCCACATGGGAGGTAAAGCAAGACATGCAGAATCGTTACCCGGAGTTTTTTGTGTGAATTTCGGGGACGAAATTCTTATAAGAGGGCGAGAATTGTAACGCCCCACATGGGGTATGTAATTTAATTTAGGTTCTTGTACCCATAGTTGAATTTTGTAAACTTATTTTGAGAAAAATGTGAAGAAAATCCCTTAAACTTTTATTAGGGGTAAAATGGTCTTTTCACTCAAAATTAGTTGAAAAAGTGGGGAGTGAAAAGAGATAGAATTTCATAGAGAATGCAATAAAAATGAGGGCATTATTGTAATTGACTAAGGGACATAGATGAAATTTCTAAGAAAGAACAAGGGCAAAATGGGAATGCTTGTGTAAAGTATGAGCTAAAAAGGGATTAAGCTTGGTAAACCCTCATTCATTCTTCTTCCACTGCCATACTCTTTCAATATTTCCTTTCAACTCTTCCTTCAATCTTTCAAGGATCTTTGAGGGCTTTTAGTTGGATCTTGGTAGAGAATTAATCTAAAGCATCCTAAGGTAAGGATTCTTGCTTTAAATGTGAAATTTATCTATATATGTATTGAAGTCTTATAGTATGTTGTTTAAAGTTGTAGAGAAAAGACCATATACCAAAGAAAAGAGAAGTGCTAGTAAAATCACTTCACCACAAGGTAAGTAAATCCAACCCAAGTTGAGATTTGAGAAATCCATTGAGTAGAAATTGAGTAGAGATTTATGTAGTTATTGAGATGAGTTGAGATGAATATTTGCTTCGTGGTTGTTGAATACACTTCAATTATGAGAAGTGTTGTAGAGTGATGAGAATGTAGTTTGAGATGAAATTAAAAGAATTGGAGAAGTATTGTGGGAGTGTTTGTGCCGTGGGGTTATGGTGATGATACAAGAGAGTTTTTTCTCTCATTTTGGATGGTTTAGGAAACATATTGAATGATAATTAAATTAGGGTTTGTTTAGGCACAATTGTTGCTTGATGAAATGCTTAAGTGAGAACATGTTGCCATGGTTGCCTTGTCACTGCCATGACCTTCTGAGTGATTTTTGGGCATCTTATAGATTTAACTGGGTTGAGACAAAAGCATAAAACATTGTAGCCCTGTCTCTAAGCTTTTAAACGAGACCAAAACCGTAGCAATCCGATGTGTATAACTCAAGTTATGCCTTCTTGAGTGTGACTTGTGCAAAATGACTATCTTGATGCAACATTGCATCCTAAGGCATAATTTCAAGCATGAACCACTCTTATACATTAATTGTGCATTGAGAATTAGCTTGAGAAAAAGTAGAGAACTTTTTGAATGAACTACTCTAAGAGTAAAGAGAATGAGAAAAACACAAAGAGCGGGTTGGTGCTTTGTGAACTCCACTCGACAGTCACGAAGAGTGGGTTGGTGCTTTGTGAACTCCACCCAGCCGTGCCTCCGGTAAGATGAGGCTGTGACATTCAAGTGAGAAAGAATAAAGAGAAAATGAGTAGAGTCACGAAGAGCGGGTTGGTGCTTTGTGACCTCCACTCGGCCGTGCCTCCGGTAAGATGAGGCCGTGACTTACAAT